TTACCTCTAACAGCGGTGGCGGAATATAGTGTCTCGCATGTAGCCCTCTTGGTTTTTCTCGAACCACAAAGAGCTCAAACTTCGGCGGAGAACATGGTAGTCCCGCCTCCCCTGCCAACTCTTCGACAATATTAACTGTCAGTTGTAATGTTTCTTCCAGATGCGCCTCACTGCCCTTGATTACCCATGGAGTAATATCATGTGCATAAAATGTGTGTTTAAGTCCTGGTATCTTCTCCAGCCTCAGCGGTATTTTAATTAAGGCGAGGTTACAAAGAAACGGCGACAAAACTGAACCCTGAGGCGTCCGTTTGCCTCCCAACGTGAAAGAGTTTGATTTGATATCTACTATTGCAATTTTTGCGGTTCGTCCCTCCAAAAATGATCTAATGTAGTGGTATGCCCTGGCCCCTGGACCAATTTTCGATAGGTTATTCAATATTGCCTGAAGCGAAACATTGTCGAAAGCTTTATTCAGGTCAAGCCCCGAAACAGCTTTGGTGCCCGTGCCATGCTCGGGATCGACTACATCATGTTTCAACTGTATAATGACATCCTGTGCGGACAAATTGGCTCTGAAACCAATAATAGTTGGGGGAAAGATAGCCTTGTTTTCTGCATAATTCTGAAGCCTGTTGAGAACCACGTGCTTGATCAATTTGCCCACGCTATATGTCAGCGGTACAAGGCGCGGGTTCTCCAAGCAGAGTTTCTCGCCTGGCTGAGGAATAAATATAATCCTAGCATGGTTCCATTGTGCTGGGATCTCCCCGGCCGCCCAATACTCATTTATCTAGTCTGTGATGGCCCCAACCGATTTGAAATCAAGGTTTCTCAGCATTTTATTAGTAGCCACATCCGGACCTGCGACAGACGTAGTACGCAGCTGCTTCATGGCCAACTCCACCTCCGCAATTGTAAACTCTTCATCTAGTTCCGAGTTTTCCACCCCGAGTAGTGTGCTAAACAACCATCCACTCCATCACTTATGTAGCGATTCCGGATTTCCTCTATAAACTCTCCAATTGTGCCTTCATATTGATGCATTAATTGAGTCATTTGTCCCCGTTGCGCCGATTTGGTTGCTGCCGGATCCAAAACATGCCTCAACAGCTGCCATGTATTTTTGCATCCAAACTGTCCATTCATGCGATCACAAATCTGGCCCCACTGCTTGGATTGCAAATCAATTATATAATGTTCGATTTTACGTTCTAACTTGGCAGTCCTTCTGCGAAGGACGCCAATAAGTTTTTGCTTCTTCCACCTTTTCAAAAAACTCGCAGTGAGCTTTCCACGTGTGTAATAGTCTAGAATATGCCGTAAAACTCTCCTGCTCGACTGGCAGTTCTACCGTGGCATTCTTTACATCCTCCTTGAGTGCCTCCACCCATGAATCCAGGTCTTTCAATTTCCCGTTCACTGTGTCTGCTCTGTTTCTCTTAAATCTGTCTCAATCGGAAATTCCATGCCCCTTCACTTTGTCTTTATGCTTCGCAGCGCTAAACGTTGTGGAAAGGATATAGTGATCACTGCCTAGTGCTTGTCCATTTTTAATCCAATATGCATTACTGATACCTCTAAAAAACATAAGGTCTGGAGAGGTATCCATGCTTATGCTGTTGCCTATCGTCGTATGATCTTGCGGATTGTTTAACAGCGTCCATCGCAGATCCCCTGCAACTTGCCAAAGCTGATTGCCCTTTGGGCTGGCTCGAATATAACCCCACTCCGGGTGAGGTGCATTGAAATCTCCTACCACTATAAGCGGAGCGCCAACTGCTAACCGTTGAGTTCGAATTAGGAGTTATGGCAAGCCCAATCCTTTATCTTTTGGAAAACTATAAACAGAAAGTAAAAACAGACTCTTCTCATACTTTCGTTTAGGCGAGATCTCTAGCAGGACATAGTCTCCCCTGCTGCTATCTACGGAATGCTGAAGGGCAGTGATGTTGCGATGGACAAGCATGGCTGTGAAGACGCGTGTTGTTCCCCTTGAATCAATTCCTGGCACTGTAAATGCCTTAAATCCGGGTAAGTTTACGGAAACACTAGCCTCCTAAAAGGCTATTATGTCTGGTTTACTATCCAGATTTGTATGTGCAACTGCAGGTTACTCCGCTTTTGACAAAAGCTCCTGCAGTTCCACTGCCAAACCTCAACTTGCTGGCGAGCCGCCATGATGAGGCACCAGGTTCACTAATGGCGCTTGGTCACCCACGGGAGGCAATCTTGCCTCCAATGAGTATGAAGCTGTTGAAACATGCCCATGACCTGGGTGTGGGAAGCCCTAACTTAACTGGAAACTATGCCGCGACGCTCCTCTATTGTGTCTAATCTGGTTTCGATTTTTTCGACTCGAGCCTCCAACCTATCCTGTCATTTCCCATGTGTGCCTATTTTATCCGCAAGGGTAGTTACTATATGACTTAAGTCTAGTGACCTTAAAAACAGGCTGTAGCATGTCTACTGGTGACGTTTCGGCTAATCGTTTTGCGTTAACTTTCTCATACCCGGCAGTGGTCTCTCAACTCCCCCGATTCTCCACTTCCGTAGCTGCACTCTCCTGTATGCGAGCAGACGCCTCTTGCGTCGCTCTCTGTAGGCCTTGCACTGCTGGTGCCTGTGTCCATTGTCGTTGGTCGTTATTAAGAACGCGCTCCATCTCTGCAAATCTATTTTCCATTAATTTAATCAAATCTCCCTGCCGGTGAACCAGCGCTGCTAACTCCCTCTATCTAGTGGTTTCGTTCTGGAAGGCCGTGCCTCATAAGCTCACATTTTTTGGTGTCGCGTGCGTAGATGTTGGGACTGGATACTCGTCCGCCATCTGGGCCGCCCCCACGCCCTGGCAATGGCGGGAAGGAACTCGACCGGTCCCTGCTTTTGCTTGTGCCTTTTTACCCATCGATGACCGCTCCATGGTCCTCGAGGACCGCTAATCGTTGCCAGCTTCAATCTCTTTTTCGATACTCTGCTGCCGGCCTGTCGGTGGCTTGCGAGCAGGGCGAAACTTGCAGTTCTGGCTCCCTGTGTGGTGCGCACCATGGCACACGATGCAGTCCGGCGTGCACGTGAGTGGCTCTCCTTCTGGCGGGGCAGGATGGTCCTTGCCACAACGGTGGAATAGGTTACTCTTCGGACGATAGCAAACATCCGCTCGATGTTGAACTCGTCTGCAGTTGTAGCAGGTCTCGACTAAATTTCTATATGGGATCACAGCGTAGGGACAGTTCCAGTAAGTAACCTGCCGGGGTATGCGTTTTCCCCCGAGCGTAATCTGAATCGCCTTTGACTTTCCCAGAGTTCCGCGTCCAGAATATCTAAGCTTTCATTCTTCTTCAGGAATCCCACCCGAACTTCTTCCACTAGGCATCCATCATAAGCACTGTAAATCACTCCCCACACGGAGTTCTCCAATGGCGCCACGAACGCCGAAACCAGCAGGTCACGATTATCCAGCTTGAGTGTCTTCGCAGTCGCATATGCCCCACTGTGATTTATACACGGTGTGCTCACTGTCAACGTGTTGGTTGTGCAATTAACCCGCCCAATAACTTCTTCCGCGGCAATTACACTCGTTATACGCTCTGCTGCTCTTAGTGCACATCTGAGTTCTTTCACTGTCACGACGCTCAATCCCAGTTCTGGGGCCTGTCACAACCTTGAAATCTGTGGCTTGCATCTTAATTAAGAAATGGTCCGCACTTCTTCCACGCCGGCGCTTTCCCCCGCTTGACTTGCTGTGCTCCACGCGTCTCGCGCCCGTCGCTGCCGGCCTGCGTCTCGCAAGGCTTACTCTTGGCGTTGTCGCCATGCAGAGCCTTCTTAAATAGGTCATGTGCCTTCAGCACTGGAACCCACTCTCCCGCTTCAAAACCTTCGGGCCTTATAGTCTCCCCTTCGACGTAGTATTCAATCTTCAGCCTAACAAGGCCCACAATCACCAGGCGCAAGCCAGATGCCCGGCGACGCGGGCCAGGCTTGGCAGAGTAGATAGACCTAGCGTTGCCAACGCGGAGTTGATAGGAAAACCTAAGAAACTCCAAAAATGCAGACAAACTTGCCTATACGAGTAATGTCCGTAGGTACAGGGCAACCTCCTGCAGACGAGCCCACTGACAGCAAGTCCAGTACAGAGCACGTCCGCCGATAGTCGGTCACAGGGCCGGAGCTCATGCGAAGCACGTCCGCGCAGCGTCCCACTCCAGCACACCTCAGTAGCGCGACAAAGTACTGACTGAGTCAATGATAGGTAATTTTTGTGGTTTCCCTGGTGACTTTAGGTGCTGGGGCCAAATGCTCGTAGTAGCTACTCATATCTGTTTTGTTGTGTCATGAGCATGATGAAAAAGACTCGTTGAGTAAAATGAGAATGCCATAAAAATAGAGATGGTCAGCTTTAGCAGACTACGCCTGAGATGCCACAGCCACCGACGAGTTGGCCTGCAGGTCGTCTACAGAGGTTTTTGGGCATGCTTCCCGAAATGTGAGTCACGCGTGCATCAACTTTGAAATTGAAAGTCACCTTTGCGGGTGAGCTCATGAGTTCAAATACAGTTACGAAGAACTTTTGATATAAAGTTGTTTAATATAATACTTTTCATCAAGCGTACTAAAACATGGCACTTAGTGAAGTGTTTCACCAAACATCGTTTAATGTTCTAGATAACAACGAAAGTTATAGGGGCAGTTCTCAGTGTCTAATGAACTCTAATAATTTACCTTCCTGTTAGATATCTGTTATGTGTAAAGTTCGGAGACGAACGTAGTGTAGCAAAACGATTTTTTGCTACATATTGTCGCTAGTAGAGATGGTACAAAAGCAAATGAAAAGGGTGAGCCCGTGCGGCAGCCTAGACATGCAGCTTTATACCGATCGCAGTCGGGTCACATGATTACTGGCAGCTGGGCTGACCGCTCTATCGACAATAGGGGGCGCTCTCGCATACATGACATTTTCTCCCGCTTAAATTGTGGGGAGCTACAGTTACACAAAATTAAGATGGCGCGTAGCGATCTGGCGCTCGTCGACTGCGTACTGGATATCTTCGTACTGGTGGTGCTGCCTCGGAGACTGCGGGCGCTGCCGTAGGTGTCTTCACAGTGGCATCCGAGAACTCCCAGAAGGTGTCCTTGTTCTCCTCACCATCGGAGACGTCAGCTGCACCCAAGAGAAACTGATCTTGGTGACGATGCCACACGGCCAGGCCCCGTGGCGTATGTACTTTGACGGCATACGAAACAGGTCCTTCCTGCCGCACTACAGTACCCGGAAGCCATCTGAGTGGTCCCCTGTGATTTCGAACAAGAACACCGTCGCCTACGGCAAATTGTCGGGCTTTGGAGCTGCATAAGCTGGACTGAATAAATTCCTGCTGGCGAACTAATTCTTCTAATTCTGGTTTGAGAATGTCCAGTTTGGAACGAAGATGGCGACCGAACATAAGGTTAGCCGGCGCTTCTTTCGTCGTAGCATGGGGTGTATTCCGATAAGCAAGAAAGAAGCTGTCAAGGCTAGCCTGCAGGTTTCCAGCATTTTAATTTTTCTTCACGGCCGTCTTTAGAGACTGAACAAAACGTTCTGCCAAGCCATTCGAACTTGGGTGATACGGCACTGTTGTGACGTGGCGCGCTCCTATCTCTCAAACAAACGTCTGGAACTCGGCTGAGTTAAATTGTGGGCGTTGTCCGACACGATCGTTGCCGGATAACCGAAATGGCTAAACATTTCGCGAAGACGATCGATGGTTGTCGTGCTAGTAGTGTTTTTCATGATGCACACCTCTGGCCATCTAGAATGTACATCAACTACAACTAGAAACAAGTGAGGCCTAAAAGGCCCAGCAAAATCAATGTGTACTCGCCTCCCAGGGAATGTTGGCCACGGCCATGGGTGCAAAGGAGCACTGTTAGAGTCACTACTCTGCTCCTGGCAAGTTTTGAATCCTTTGACATGAGACTCGAGATCCGCGTCAATTGAAGGCCACCAAACATAGCTGCGGGCCAACTCTTTGGCTCGCACAATACCTGGATGACCGTCGTGAAGTTCTCTTAGCACCAGAGACCTCAGCTTTGCAGGCACCACTACACGCATTCCCCACAGGAGACAGCCTTGGTGTGTGGTCAGCTGTGTCCTCCTGTCGAAGAAAGGCTTGAGCTCCGCGTCGTTTGTAACGTTAGGCCACCCCGTACTTGTGAGCTCGAGTACTCTGCAAAGAATCTGGTCATTCGAGGTTGCACGTGCAATATCTTTGTGCGTCACCGGCATTGATTGAAAGCGGAACGAGTAGAACCTTTCATCTGCATCATCAGCAGATTCCCGACGAACTGGCAAGCGCGACAAGCAGTCAGCCTCTAGATTCTCGTTTGTCGGTCGAAACTTCAAGGTGTACGTGTAGGCAGATAACGTCACTTCCCAACGTTGATGTCTTGCTGCTGCCAAAGTTAGTATGCCAGACTTTGGACCCGAAATAGTCTGCAGTGGTTTATGATCCGTTATCAGCGTGAACGAACGCCTGTAAATATAGTAGTGAAACATTTTAACGCCGAACATGTTTGCTAATTCTTTTTTCTCGATCTGGCTACACTTCTGCTCAGCATCGGATAGAGTCCTTGAAGCGTGAGCAGCAGGGCAAACGGTTCCATCAGCAAAAATATGAGAAAGCACACCACTTACCCCTTGACAAGATACGTCGCAAGCCGTTTGAAGCGGTCTTTGCGGATCATAGTGAGCCAGAACCTCCGAGGATACCAACGCAGCCTTAATGTCGTCAAACGCCGTTTGACATTCGCTGGTACATGCCCAAGCTTGGTCGCCACGCAGGAGTTTGTACAGGGGATGGGCTAGTGTAGCCAGTTGAGGTAGAAATTTTCCGTAGTAGTTTACGGCTGCGAGCAAAAAACGAAGCTGCGGCTTGTTCTCCGGTGCTGGCGCGGCTACAATGGCATCAATCTTGTCCATCGTGGAATGTATGCCATCTGCACTCAACGTGTGCCCCAAGTAGGTTAATTCCTTCTGAAAAAAAAAACGAATTCCTCAGCTCTTAGTCGAACTCTTCGGCTTTCCAAACGGCTTCGAACTGCTTTCAGGTTCAGTAGGTGTTCGACTCCAGTCATTCCGGTCACTAGGATATCATCCAAATAGCATGCAACACCTCTGAGACCGTTAAGCATGGTGTCCATTATTCACTGAAAAGTACCAGGCGCCGAAGACACGCCGAAAGGTGGCCGGTTTACGGCGAACAGTTTTGTCGTCGTGTTTATTGCCAGAAGACGACGCGCCGGTTCCGCTAGCACTACCTGTTGATAGACCCTGTTCAAGTCAATTTTAAGTGTGAATACACTTTATAAGTGACCCCAAACCATCCACCACCGTCGGCGGCGTCCGCAGTCTTCTCTCTATCTTTAAAAGAAAGAGGACTTGGCGGGCCGCAGCGCGACGCTCTACAGAATAAGCCACGGACGCGACGCTGATATAGGTGTCAGTAACGCACCCTATACCCCCTCCCCCTTCGCTCGCACCTCCGCTCTCCTCGCTCGCTGCAGCTGCGCGCGCACCCCTCTCTTTCGCGCGCCCGCCTTCTCTCGCAGTCTCCCGTCGAGAGCGGGTCGTGAGGGGGAGTAAAGTTAAAATCCGTTGGCATTCGCTAGTGAGTTAACGTAAACTCCCCCGTGTGATCAAATTGCGATTCCCAGGAACCATTACACCATAAAGGCACCATAGTGTGAATAATAAATATAATAGTGCGAATTAATAAATACACTCTAAAAAAGGGAGCGAGAATGGAGAAACGGGCTCCGCTCCTCCTTCGGCGCAGCGACTTCCTCCCTTTCGGGCGCTTTACCCATCGCGCCCTCTCGCGGCAAGGACCAAAGGAGCAACGTTCCTCCTTCAGCGTTCAAGTTTCTCCTCAATCACGGGGGTCTTGCTCGCGCGCATGCGCACGCCAAGCCTATAGCCTGCCGCGGCCAGTCGCGAGCGATTGCTTTTACCTAAGATTCTTGTAAGCAATGCAGGAGTGACGTTTTCTTTTGTTTTTTTTAGTGTAGAGTAAAAGCCTCTCTTTTTTTATCGTCAGGCACTCGCACGATGCTCCGCACACTTCCATGTGTGTCTCGTGTTGTTTCATATTACCAATTTGTCACGAATACAAGGAGCTCTGCTTCCCAAGCAGTCTTGCTTTATCGATTACCTCAGAGTGTAAAAAAATAATGATTTTTTTGGTGTCGACATACTTGGTAAGCCCACGCATTTTTGGTTTTGCACGGCACCAACAGCACTCATGAATTCAACGAGGCGTGTAAAAAGCATCAAACTTGTTTTTTAAATATTGTAGGAAACCTGATACCACTCTACAGTCCATGCGTGAAAGTACGATCATATACGATTGATAGAGTTATACGTGCCACTACCACCATATGGATGTTCTTTGCAGTTTACCCCATTCGAATACGGCCGCCGTGGCCGGAAATCGAACCTGCGTCCTCCAGCATAGTCACACGACACCCAATAAGGCTATGCTACCACAGCAGGTGAAAGCAGAAAGGGAAACAGGCTGCGAAGTTTCACCGAGCGTTTATTCGCCAGACTAGATTACAACCATCAGAAACTTTTTAAACATCATCATAACTAAACTTTTGTGAAAAGTAAACCAATGACTTCTGTAGGTTAAACCAAATTCTCAATCGCATTCGTTTTGAATTGCCCATGCCAGCACTGAGAAGTAGGAAGGAATTATGCACGCGAGCAGTATGTCTTTCTCGTCCATGATTCTCCTTTGTCGTGAGAAACTCAACACAAAATGCACTTCTAGTAACAGCTGTACACAGCAAGTAAGTATTAACGCTCACTCACCTTTGTGAAAAGAGTATTCCGGATCAAGAGTAATAACCACCACAGTCACAGCGCTAACAACAAAATTGTGGCACGCACTATGATTGCAAGTTAACACGTGAGGCGAATAGCGAGAGGCATCTGAAGCAGAAAAGTATGCATGCACAACATTCTATAAAGTTATAGTAAACTTGCGCACTGCAGCGATAGTTCCTCCACTCAAGTATGAGAGCTGCCGCGACGCCAACAGCCGCTGTCATGGCTCACCAAAAAAATACCGTTGGATGCGAGGTCATCGCTTATTTATCTCGCAAGACCGGCGTTGTAACGTACGTATACACTGCTAGGACGGTCGTTACCGCATCAAAAACATTGTCATTGAAGGGCTAGTGGTATACTATATCCATGGCTAACGGTCACACTTGTGGTACGCACGTAAAAAGAATATAAGCAAACGTTAAGACGAAACAACTAAACGAGGTCAACGTGACCACAGAACACCTACCACGACGGAGACAAAGTTTGGTCTGCATGCTGCGCCCTCTCCAAGTAACAAGAAGAAAAAGAAACGTGACCTCCGAAATGGCTAACGCGTGGCAAGTGTTAGCACTCTCAGAGGCTTCAAGAAAAAAAGTAACTGTGGCAGTGGTCGACAGATGGCGCAGCGTTCGAAATGCCGCGGGCATTCTAAGCACGGCTTGAGGGTATCCGCCTTCATGAAAACCTGATAAGCTCTAGTAATTATTTCGTTCATTATTGTGCAACCATTGATTAAGTAAGGTTCGCCTAAGCATCAGATACTATATATATATACGTGTGCGCATGTTGTGGTATTGATACAAAACGTAAAAAAAGTGTAAGAAAGCCTACTTGTAACTTGTGCCACTCAGGTCAGTCGAAATTCGTCGCTATATAAGCTGGCGCGCTTTCATAGTAGGGTGTGAGTAAACACGTCGAGGTGTGGGTCGTTGTTCTGAATGGTTGATTGTGCTCTTGTTGCGTACTTGTAGCGTACTAATGTGTACTCTGTGACCATGTGTGCATGTGTAGCTATATGGATTGCACCAGCACATGTTCGGCTTTCTGTGTCCATAAGTAATCTTGAATGGGTTGATGCGTAAACAATCCGCAAAGGAGCCGTGATAGTGGGTATTAACAACGTACGTCGCGGCAGTCAACTTTTTTTTTTAGTTTTGTTCAGTCCCTCCAGATGGCGCCACCTACCACCTACTCCATTGCTATGACGCTCTCACACCTCCAGCCATTTATATAACGTTGAGCATCTATCTATCAAAACTGCACTACGGATTCGGAATGGTTTCGCTGCGATCGAGTGTACGGTTTGGAGGCACATCTCGTGACCTGCGGACCCGTAAGCACATGGATAACGTCGCTACACTATGTGAATCTGCGAGAAATAAATACAGCATGCCTAGCATGCACTCTTCAGGTGAGGGCTCTGCAGAATCCCTGTCTTTCGGAGTGAACGTGGCTTCGCTGACTGAACGAAACGTACTTGCTCCATCGTTCTCTTTCGTGATGTGTTCACCGCCACAGGTTCGTCTGTTTCTTTTTATAATCATTTCGTTCAATATCAAGCTCAGCGGGACCGTTTTTTGTAACTTTCAGTGCCGTGTACTCCTTACCAGTCGAGAATCGTTGCATTTGCTAAGCCTACTCGCTTCGCCGGGGGGCAGCCATGTTGATTTTCATAAGGAGGAACGTGTTTCTCCGTGGATGAGGGAGCAACGTTTCTCTATTTAAAGACGAACATTGGGGACATCGCCGTTCCTCCCTAAATCGTGAGTACGTCACTCCATTTTTTTAAGAGTGTACCCCTCATAGCATCACCCCGTGTATTCGCACTTCACCATGTTCACCCTCGGGGAAATGCTTGGGAGTTTTTGAAAATTCTTTCCTCCACTGAGTGCAGTGAAAACTTCTTCAACACGTGGTAAAGGGTTGTGATCAGTGTCTAGCATGGGGTTGGCAGTAGTCTTGTAGTCACCACATAGGCAGATGTTTCCGTCTTTCTTTACCACAGGCACTACCGGTGTAGCATACTCGCACGAGGCTAATGGTGTGATCACACCCATTGACTGCATTTTGTCAAGCTCTTTTTCCACTGCTGGAACCAGTGCGAAAGGCACACTGCGTGCCTTCAAAAACTTTGAACGAGCGTCCGCTTTGAGAAAGAGTTCTGCCTTCTCCTCTGTAATTCATCCCAATTCTTCCTTGAAAAGGTTACTGTACTTCTGCAAAAGCTTTCTAACCTCTACTTTTGCTTCCTTGTTTGTCGGCATCAGTGCCGAGCAGAGCTTGTTGCAGGAAAATACAGCGTTCCAGTCGAGGCGCACGTGCTGTAACCACTCTCGGCCCAGAGGTGCCGGTCCTCCCTGCTCAGTGAGATACAAGATAACAGAACACTTTGCCCATTATGTTCAAAAACTTCAGCCACTCTTGCTGGTTCGACTAAAGCACATGTGTAAGTGCGTAGACGCAATCTTGTCGTGCGCAACTTCAAAGAGGGGAACAATTGTTGCTTTTGCGTGCAAGAAATTACGGATACCACTGCTCCCGTATCCAACTCAATTTCAAGTGGAATATTGTTTATCAACAGGCGTACTTTTATGGCATCTTTTGCCGAGCACGTCATGCCGTTTAGCATCATTTCTGCGGCCCTGTCAAGAACTTTCAGGCTGCGTGCTCGCGCCTGAGATATCTTCGCGTTCTTCTCAGACTGACATATACGCTGGATATGCCCTTTCTTGCCACAGCCGAAACACGTCGCTGACGCATGTCTGCAGTTTTTGCTCACGTGCTTAAAAGAACCGCACTACCGACACATGTTTGACGCTTTCTTTTCGCTGGTATCTTTTACTGCGACTGCTTTATGCCCCGGCTTTTGTGCAGTTACATGGTGTAAGTCAGAGACGCTTGTTGAACCACGCACTTCTGCTGCACGTTTTGCTGCTGAATCCGATGCTACAGCTTTTTCGACTGCCTTTTGAAAGATTAACTTCTTGTCTTCAGCAAACAGCGCTCGCTGAATGTCTTGTCTTTGTAAACCAAACGAATCTGTCCCTCAGTGCCTCGTCTAAGAAATTATTGAACTCACACGAACTCGAGAGGGAACGCAGTTCCGCGACAAAATCGGCAATGGATCCAGTCTCGCGCTGAGACCATCGATAAAACTTAGCTCTCTCACCAATTACTGAAGGCTTCGCTGCCAGATGGTCGTCAAGCAATTGCCTGAAGGTGTAATCGACTTGCTTGATAAAACGTCAGGGGCGGTAAGTGACTTGGGTAGAGCGTACGTCTTCGCCCCTATTAGGCTCGGGAACGCGAG